TGAAAGATGCTAAAGTTACACACGATTTCTAGCTGCTTTCATGAAGTTTGAATTTTAAAAGTGCATCTGTTACAAATCCGCTCGTCGCCACTCTTACGGGGCCATCTGCTCGAGAGTTAATACATTGTGAATGAGTCACTGCAGCACACACAAACACATCAACACACCCACTCTGTTCCCATTCACCTGCTGGTCTGGACGGCCATATGCATTGTGTGCTCTGCTTTTTTAAACATGTTTCATTTGTTGCAGTCAATTATGTGTGATGGGCAGCCCTCTAATGAGCCCCAAGGGAGGGGTGTGGTTACAGTGAGGCATTGCGATTGGTCAGACGGTCAGATTAAAGCAGCTCATAAAACTTTATTAGCACCCCACATTGTGACCATGTACAGACTGTGGGACGCACGCTGGCGGGCAGTTCAGAGCACACGCTTAGTAGGTGTTGAGAAACAGGAGGCCAGACAGACGTTATGAAATGTGTATTTAAAGAGTGTCTGGCAAAAGAAACATAACTGAAAGAAAACTAAAGATTTATTCTACCTCACCGAGTGATTTAAAGTCTAGTCCTTTATTAGATAGGCAACAAGCCAATGGATGTTTGTAGATCCACATTTACTTTACTGCTCCTTTCGTCAGTGTGCACTGGGCTTGACTCTCTGATGAGACTGTGGGTTGCTGAGTGTGTCTCATTACCTCATCCTCCTGGTATCTTCCCCTCACTGTCCTCACTTGTTCCTACTCATTATTTCAGCTTTATAACTAAAGCCTGTTCCATGGTGATGTTAATTAAATGTTCTCTCTCTCTCTCTGTTTGTTTGTTTTCAGTGTGTGGTCACGTGCACTTAATTTAAAAGAGGTGTAAAATGTTGTAAGATCAATCTTTTGATATGTTTTTCTCTAAGATGTTTGATTTTTCTTAATCAAAATACGTCTGTAATAGCAGTGAGAAATCATTACTGGAAAAAATTATGTTTTTGTTTTTTTTAATGCAAAAATTTGTATATATATGTATGTATACAGTTGCAGGAAAAGGATGTGAACCCTTTGGAATTACCTGGATTTCTGCATAAATTGGCCATAAAATCTGATCTGATCTTCATCTAACTCACAACAATAGACAAACACAGTAGAGGTCGACCGATATGGTTTTTTTCACGCCGATGCCGATACAGATCTTTTGAAATCCGGGTCGGCCAATTAATGCTGCCGATTTATTTTGGCCGATATTTGCTTGGTTTTTAACCTCTATTTGAAAGATAAAATGTAAAAGAAATGATAATTACTTAACATAGACAAACTACAATCAACAAAAACATTTATTGAACACTTGAACAATGAACAATCTGAATTCTGCACTTATAAATTAAAAATGTATAATGTAAAAAAATATATAAATAAATTGTATAAATGTAAAAAAAAAAATTAAATAAACAAAACAGGTAAGAAGAAAATAAACTGTCATATACTTTTCAATGAACGCGTTCATAATTTGGGCGAACGTGAACTGAACGTACTGTATTACTGCCTGATGAACGTTACTGTGAACGCGCTCTCTGTCAGTTTAACTTCGTACAATAGGGTGCCAGATTTCTATAGAGCCTTCCAGGCAAAAACTTTGTATATGGGCTGTGGCAATAATAATAATTAAAAAAAGCTCGCAACATATGGAAAAAAAAGAACTATGAATGAACTAGTGCATTTTTTGAAGCATGAACTATGAACTGAACTAGTTCATTTTAAAATGTGTGAACTGAACTTTGAACTAGTTCATGTAGAAAGCGAACTTTCCCAACACTGCTAACGGTATGTAAAGCGATGTTTCTGTTATTCTAACGTCCGTTTTCTGAGCATCCAAGAGAAGCACTGGCATAACAGTAGCACCGAACTGAAGCACAGAAATCCGCGTTGATATTCGGTGCGGTGGATAACGGTCGTTAAGGTTCCAGTGCCGTATCAGCACCGGGTCTGTCTTTTTTATTACTTATTATAAGACACACAAACAGAACAAATAAAAGTCTCAGATTCACTCTGTAATTGCAAAATTATTGCTTACTTATTGTGACATGATAGCAACTCTTCTGTGATAATGCAACTTCAACTACGATCCAAATTAGCCGAATGTCGTGTGTCTTATTCAGGTTTTTTCTCGAAGTTGGCAGTAACATATCTAAAGTTTTTAATTAAATATAAAGGAGTAATAAGAATTGAATCCTTACCGTTAGCTCCTTAAGGCACTGGATGAGGTCTGCTGCTCACTCGGCTGCGCGCGTCAAACACGTGTTCCACGACAACACTAGGCTGCCCACAGATGCGCCTTCCTAATAATCGGCTTGATATACTTGGATATTGGCCGATGCCGATTATGTTAAAAAATGCCAATAATCGACCGATTAATCGTCCGACCGATTAATCGGTCGACCTCTAAAACACAGTCTGCTTAAAATAATACCACACAAGCAACTAAATGTTTTTATTGAACACAGCGTGGAAACGTCCACAGTGCAGGTGGAAAAAGTATGTGAACCCTTGGATGTAATTTGGCAGCAATAACCTCAACCAAATGTTTTTGATCAGACCTGAACAACAGTCAGGAGGAATTTTGGACCAGTCCTCTTTACACTGTTTAAACTGTTTGAGTTCAGCAATATTCTTGGGATGTCTGGTGAGAATCGCTCTCTTGAGGTCATGCCACAGCATCTCACTCCAGAAGGTGTCTCTGAGCCATTGTCGTTGTTGAATTACTTCTGTGCTTTGGGGCGTTTTTCTGTTCATTTTTCTGTCGATGATAGCGACCCTCATTATTCCATGAGTGCACAGCTGAGATCTCTCACTTTCATGTGTGGTTGCTTAGTCATGACAAGTATAAAAGAATCTTTTTGTGACTTCTTCCTTCACTTGGATGGGAGACCGCCTGGGAATACCAGGTGCTGTAAGCTTTTTCACTTCTCTTTAGAGACAGCAGAGGACGCGGCTGCTTCTTCAGCTTGTTCCTCGTCTTTGATTTATGTCATTTGAAATTATATGTTAATAACTTGTATGTGTTTACATAATGTAATGTATATTCGTGCTGTTCCAGTGACAATGATCCATATGTCTGACCCAACAAAATAAAAAGCTTACAGCACCTGGTATTCCCAGGCGGTCTCCCATCCAAGTACTAACCAGGCCCGACCCTGCTTAGCTTCCGAGATCGGACGAGATCGGGCGTGTTCAGGGTGGTATGGCCGTAAGCGAAGGAAGCATCTACAAAAAGATCTTTTATACTTGTCATGACCAAGCAATCAGCGTCAGAAGGAGCTTTATTGCCAAGTTGTGCTTTACACATGTGAGGAATTCGCTTTGGTGCTACATGTAGGTAACCACTCACATGAAAACTGAGAGATCTCAGCTGGGTACCCATGGAATAACCCATCTGAGAACAATAACAACTGAGAATTGTACCTTACCTGGCCTGTTTTTAAGTCCCAAACACCTGTTCTGTTCACATACCCCCACCTTGAAAGCTGCCCTTTGCCCTCTGGAGTCCACCGGAGGACACGGTCTTTGTCGCCATCTGGTGGCCGAGTCGTGGGAACTACAAGCAAACACAAGGCCGCATCCTGTTCCTCTCTCTCAGACCACAAGTTAGATGCCAGATGTTAGATGTTGTTCTCAAGTTATCTGCCTATAAAGCACGGAGTTCTTCTGTCATGGGAATACTGATCAGTGTTTGTAAATATTTCAATGTTTGAGGGAGATTTATGTTAGGTTCTTGTAAAGCCAAAACATGAAGACTGCATTGGTATATCTTTATAAATTGTATCATAAATGTTGTATTTTAGTTTCTTTTCATCAAATTTACAGTTACAGCTGTAGTCCAGGAGAAGGAGAAAACATTCAGTTGCATTATAATTTGCAGGATCTTGGTTATAATGGTGCCTTTTAGATTTAATTGCATCTCCATTTACTCTGGAATAGTTAACATAAGTATGTTTACTTACAATGGATTCATATTCTCAGCTTCCTTAGCTTCTGACCTATCAAAGGAGACCAAACCACGTTCGTATAGGCTTAATGGTTGGTTACTTATACCTGATTTATTTTTGTGTTTGATGTTTTAGACGTTTTTCCTGGAAATAGGGGCAGTTAATGAAAAATAAATGGACTCTAACAAGCATCTGATTCAGTTGTCACATGCATTTTCTTTTAGGTGAAGCAAATCTGACAAGGTGCAACAAATAAAACTATTTACAATGCAGCTATTAGGAAGATGTAATAATTGCATTTAAATAACTCACTATTTAAATTTCATTACTAACTTATATTGACATTTTGGTTGTTTCTCTTTCAAAGCAGCAATGTGATTAATTACTCTCCCTTTGAAATCAGGCGTGTTCCTGATTCCCCTTTACATAAAGGGCGTTATGACAGCAGCTTTAAAGGCGCAAAGGATCTCTGCAGTGAGGAGAGACAAACTGAAAAGATGCCAAAGAGGGTTTGCAATAAGAGGTGCAGCAATGTTTTGATTACTTTTTTTTTTTTTTTTACTGTTAACCATTTCCTAAATACAGCTTGAGAGGCAGTTTACCTGGCAGATAGGTGGCGCTGCCAATTCAGGCATCAAACTTTGCTGGAAACTTGTCTGGAAATGGCAAAGGAAGACATTGTGCACATGAAAAACATGCAAAGCAACAACCGATAACAGTTTCCTTTATTATAAAATTAAATTACATAACTGAATTACATACAACACTGAGGACTGTTCGTTGATTATGAGGGGGGTGCATATTTTTTAAGCACTGGGGAGGGACCTGATGGTGATCCACATCTAAAAAGGGCCTTTTTGTAACATTTTCCTTTCTTAACATGTAATAATGTTTTTTTTTTTTATCGTTTTTTAAAGGTGGCTGACAAATGAAAGGACGCTGAGAGGGAATGAAACCTGCAGGTGGCAGTAATGCAGCATCGTGAGAGTAAAATTAAAAAGCCCCTCACGTCTTGTTTCTACCCGGAGAGTGTTGAAGACGGACCAAACACCTCGTTTGCACAGACCACACGTTTTTTAAATTTTTTAAATTAAACTCTGTATTTTGTGTTGTTGCAGCCAGATTTTCTCTTTTTGAAAGCGGTGAGAAAACAGTTTTAGAGTTTCACTGGAAGAGCTAAAATAAGAGGTGAGTCACGATGTTATGTGAAGTTTCACTTCCGATTCGGCTGTTCAGGGAAACCCAGTTTGCAGATCCAAAGCCACGATACCCAGAGCTGTCAAATCTGGACTAGGATGTCCCAGAGAGGCTAAAGATTATTTGAAATATAGATTCACGTTTGTGAGAATTTTATTCTATATGTGAAAATGGAAAAAAATAAATAAATGATGATACCAGGTCCAGATCAAGAAAACACTGCCTACAGCTGTCAAATCTGGACTAGATTGTCCCAGAGATGATAAAGTTTCTTTAAAAGACAGATTTGTTAAACCTTTATTCTATTTGTGAAAATGCAAAAAAAAACAAACAAACAAAAAAGCAATTTATATCGTCTAATGTGGTCTACAAGTAAAACAAATAAATACATACTGTACAAGAAAATTGAAGATCCTCTTAAATGTTTTTGTATTTAAATATTTGTTGGGAAAAAAAACAACATATAACGCGCCGCTTTTCATTTTTAGAAATAGAATAAATGTCTCACAAAGAAACAGCTCTGGGCATAACGGGTTTTGATCTGGACCTGTTCTGATGTCAATACGTCACTGAAAACAAAGACAGACCTCTTTGTCAAAGTGTTTTTTAAGATGATTTTTAAATTTGTATCACTTATGTAGTCCTAAAAAGGAGACGCCACTTTTAAACTTTGGTAATTTAGTTATTTTTCAGTTAAAGCTCGCATGAATGCAGACAGCATGAAAACACAGGAGTGAAGCAGATGTGATAGGAGAGGTGAAGAAGCCACAGATGTTTACTGTGAATATACATAAATAATTTATAAAAACAGTAATTTCATTTATTTATTAAACAGGAAAAGTTTAAGAGCGACAATTTAGTTACAGTAAACGGGCCTGACTCAGTTTAAAAACAGGTTCCTGTTCTGCAGCAACATAGAACAATAAACACAATTTCAACACATTAATACAGGACATTATTATTGAGTAGACAGATACAAACAAGAGAAACATTAAATACAATACATGAACAATCAGTGTGTGCAAGTATGACTCTTAAGAAGAAACAGTTTATATGACTTTTTGAAATATGTGATGGATGATATTTGTTGGATTGTATTTTGAATCTGAAAGTAAAAAAGCAATAGCATGTAGGTAAGTTTCAGCAACCGAAAAGGAGAGATACGACCTAATCTTGTTATACACATAGTTTCTGAGATGTAAGATGTCTAAGATGTGAATCAAGTAGCACACCAAGGTAGTTGTAGGTCTTTGTGACGACAAGTTCTTGGTTCGCAAAAGTAATAAAATTAGTAAAAGAGAGACTTTTTCTGGGTGAGTGAAAATACATACATTCAGTTTTCTTTACATTAATGGTCAGATGCTTCTTTTTCAGCCAATCATGTTTTTCATTTGTAAAATAAAATACAATTAATTACGAAATAAAAGAATACAAGATACACTAAATAAAAAAAATGAGTAGGCTTAACGCAGCATTATTCATAAATGCAATCTAATAAACACTGAAAATGTTTATGTATTATCCTGTTCAAATCGCCATGTATGGATACTTTTATTTTCTATTTTTATTTAAACCAAAAAAAAAGCAAAATGTGTGTCAAAATACAATTTTAATTTTAATATCGTCGTGGTGCAGAGATGTTCTGACTTACACATCCTATTCCACAGACTTAAGAAAACATCTTTGTTTGGTACAGATCTCTGCAAAAATCACACCTCAATCATTTAAATATGTTTTTCAATAAAAATGAGAATAATTATGTCTAAATGATGATTCCCTCTGAGATCGCAAATCGTACCGCAATTGCAACATCGCTCAGAATAACCGTAATTAGATCTTTTTTTCAAAATCGTTCAGCCCTACACTTTTATTGTTGTTGTAGTGAATATTTACTATTATTGACGGCTGTCTGCGACCCCACTCGAGGCCCCGTGAGGACATTGAAGCTACCTTACTCTACTTCCTCTGCAGCCATGCTTCTGGTGGACCCTGGTCTGTACATCGGCACTGCGGCTGACCTGAACGACCGCCAGGCGTTGGCCGATGCAGCTGTCACTCACGTCCTGTCTGTGGACTCCGTGGATCCCGCTCCTCTGCTTCCTGCTGATGCGGTACGCTGCAGGAAGTGGATCAATGTTCTCGATGAGGTGACCTCTGACCTCCTGAGTCACATGGACGACAGCTTCCAGTTCATTCAGCAGGCTGTGGATGCGGGCAAGGCTGCGCTTGTTCACTGGTAAGGGTCAGAGGTCAACGGGAGGCCTCTGCCGTTTCACAGTCACCACTGCATCTGATGTGTAGAAAGGTGGTTCAAGTATATGTATATATTATTTTTACTTGTTCATTTATAACTTATTTATTTGCTTAATGTCCCAAAGTTACGTGGTTTCACTCAGTGACACTCTTGAAAGTGTTAAAGCCTCATAAACAGTTAACATGATAACATGGGGAAAAAGAGGATCCATATGAGGATTTGTAAGGACGATTGGCTCAGCCTGAGAGAGAGAGAGGGAGAGAGCTGTGCGAGTATCCATTTCCTGTGAACTAACTATTAATAATTAATAACGTTTTTAATTTTAAATTAAATTTACAAAGGAAAGTTTTCAATTCAGGTTTTTATTTCATGAAGAATTCCACCAAAAATAGTTGCTGTGTGGCAGCTCACGCACACCACACTTTGGGAATCGCTTGTGTACATCATTAGATTATGAAAGACTATTGACCAAGACATGAACTCAGTGGGACTTTTAAAAGTTGAAAAATGAATAAAGTTGCAGTAGTGTCGCTTTAACTTTCTTTCTTTAAGTCATAAATAAACGAATTGATCTAAAAAATTAATATTTTTAATGTACTCATTATTCTACCGACTAATGTGTGTTCTGTTATCTTTATTCCCTGCTGTGTACTTGTACTGTGTACTTGTGCGGCAACTAATGTTGTCAATGTTCATCACTATATATTAAGCAACAGGAGCTCTCATCGGCCAGCCATTCATTTCCGTGAGCTCGAGCTCATCTCCTTCCAAATAGTCTCATAATTAAACTCTAATTTTAGCAATCACTTTATAAACGGTTGCATGGATTAATCGATTACATGTTTATTTATTTACTGTTTATTTGAGAAGGGATAATGTACATTATTTAACATTCAATGTTTTAATCGGCAGTCTTTTTGCCTGATGATGTTGTGGGATGCTAAGATAATAAAACGAATACAAAACAATGAGTCTAACTGTGTGTGTGTGTGTGTCAGCCAGGCGGGTCGGAGTCGCAGCGCCACCATCGTTACTGCATATCTCATGAAGAGATACCAGCTGGGCTTCACTGAGGCTTACCACAGACTGAGGAGTGTCAAACAGGACGTACAGTAAGTTTACTGACTGCCTATCATTAAAGGTGTGACGAGACGCTTAGTTAACGAGACGCGATATTGGGTTCATGAAATTGAGGTGAGATTTTAACACTATTTTTAAGATATCTTCAATGCTGAGTTATATGAAGAATTTGAGCATTAAATTTCCTGCATTTCTGTGAATTTTTCTGAACCAAATTATGATTTGAAATGGTTTTTATGTAAAGAGCAACACAAAATTCAGCTGATACTCTGAATCTGAACAGAATCTAAGTCAGTGCAGCTTCTGTGCTGCTTTCAGATATATTTCTCCTTTTAGATGAACTTTTCTCATGTAATATCATCCCTGCTGAGTCACGATTTAGCCTCCCTCCCCCCATACTTTGTGTCTTTTGTTTGTGAAAGTGACCTCTTTCGACGTGGCTGTGGCAGCTTTTCACCTCAGTGATAAATTAATTCATTTTAATTTAGTTATAAACTCCTGGATTTTAATAGCTCCTGTGTTTCAGCAGGTTTTCTGTTCCCACATATCCGTGTTCTCTGACTTGTTGAGAAAAAAAGTTGTAATATTATGAGACTATCGTCGCCATTTAAGGAGAATTCTCATAATATTTTTAAAAGTCTACCTTCCCTTTATTCTGCTGTGCATTACATTATTGCTCTGCTGGTAATACCCCTTCAAACCATCTGACAGACAGAGAAACCAGAGAAACATGGGGCTGCATGTTAGGATGACTGACAAGGAGGTGGAAACCAAAATAGAGGTTTTTTAAATGTTTATATTGCAAAAGTCTGACAGCTACGTTACCACACACCCCCACTGTCAGGACTCGCAGCGTGAGTTCACTTGACGCCGGTTTTGCATCAGCTCGGCGGAATTAAATTGAATTGAGTCAACGTCACCACTTTTGTTTTTCGCTGTGTGAAAAAATTGCTTTGTGGCGTCAAGAGCGTGTGGAAAATGTCCACTGGCGAGACAGCTTTTAGCCCTGTGGCACGAGATCTCATCACACCCAGCCTACAATGATTGAAAGTATGTCAGTTGTCTATAGTGTGTGTTTAAAAGTTTTAACTTTAGCTTCGAGGCTAGACGCCACTTTTAAAGAGCACATTGTTGAAATGGATAATTATTATTAGACGCAGGACCAAATGGGAAGCTTCCGGTCAGCAAACAGATGCAAATCTGCATTTTAACGGCCAGCAGGCGGCGACTCCTCTGGTGGCAAAAAGAAGTCCGGCTCCATTAGAAATAATGTTAAAATGACCCGACTTCTCAGCTGATTTATTCCCTCAGTAAACACTTTCCTGATGAGTTTATGGTCTCAGTCGCTAGTTTCAAGTCTTCTTCAACACAACTTGATGTTCATTTAGTAAATTATGGTCCCATTTAGAGGAACAGAGACCATAAAGCAGAGTACGCTTCACAAGTCGTTACCACGGTGACCTGTCAATCAGGCTAGAGTGACTCGTGCCCACTGCAGTGTGTAAATTTAACCAGCACTGTTGAAAAAGCTTATTAGTAGTTCTCTGGTGAGTACATTTAGTTTTAAGCCTGTTGTTCGCTAAACAAAATTATCAGCCCTGTTAAAATGACAATTAACGTGAATTACGGATGCACCTACACACACGGCCGTTAGCGCCACCGTCTCGTCCAAATATGGTCACGTCCGGTGCTGCTAGTTACAAAAACTCAACATGGCGGCGCCCTATCGGCCAAACTCGAGGCTTCAAAACCCAACGGGTGACGTGACGATGACGATGACCCCTTCTTATATACAGTCTGGTCGCAGGACAGATAATTACTAGCTGGTGGATGTTTTTCAGGGTCAACCGTGGTTTTGAGGAGCAGTTGTGTCTGTATGAGGCCATGAAGTGTGAAGTGGACACTTCCAGTAGTTTGTACAAACAGTACAGACTGACCAAGATTACAGAGAAGTACCCTGGTAAACACACACACACACAATAATAATCGTGTTTGAATAAGACTTGGTCATCTGCAGCGAACACACACTCTTTTCCTGCATTGATAATTTTTTTGTGTATTGATTTCCTTTGTGTGTGCTTGTGTTCAGAGTTGCAGCACGTTCCCAGGGAGCTGTTCGCTGTTGACCCCGCCCACTCCAGCTCCTCTGAAGTGTCCTATCGCTGCAGGAAGTGCAGGTGAAAGGTGGAAAAGTTTATACAGCGGCTGAATGGGGGGGGGGGAAGTTTTGTAATGATGCTGAATTCATGTCATATGGGAATTAATAGACCTTTAAGCGGGAAGCTTTACTGTCTGTGCCATTTTCTTCCTCAATTTTGATGCCAGTAAAAAGGAAACGTGCCGCATTTATTTCAAAATAAATACTTTAGGTATCACAATAAACATCCTGACTCCAAATCCGTAAGTATCCTCTATCTTATCCTCTGCAGACGAACTCTGTTTCGTGGCTCCAGTATTCTCAGTCACCCAGTAGGAGAAGGAGCGCAAGCCTTTGGTCACAAGAAGTCCAGTAACCTCACTGGTAAGGACACAACCCTACAGTTTGCAGCCCAGAGGATTTCCAGCTAAGTTGAATAGGGGGCCGGAGAGACAGAGATACTGCATGAGGTGAAAGTAGGGGTGTAACGGTACATTTATTCATTTAGCTGACGCTTTTTTCCAAAGCAACTTAGAATTGCTATATATGGGTCACAGTGGGGGATTGAACCCGGGTCTCTCACACAAATGGCAGGCAGCTTGAAAACCCCTCCCTTAAGGTCCTCTGTTTGGGAACACTTCGGTTTCCTAGTGAAATACAACAACGGACGAGCTGATAAGACGAAAGCAGCGGGGCGACATTTCGCTGTAGTGATCGGGTATGTTTCTGGCAACACGTCAAACTCTCTAATGGTATCACACGAAGGAGAACGTCACTGCAACAAAAACGAGCACAGTGCAAACGCCTTTTCGGCATTTAAACAGACTTTAGACTTCGGAAAAGTTTTTTTTTTAATCTGAGCAGGCCTTCAAGCTGGGATTGATATAGATGGTATTAAAGAAGAAGAAGAATGTCGCATTGTAATCCATATTTTTAAATCTATATTTGTTTATTATATTTTATTAGCTATATGTGGTATTGTTTTGAGAATATGTTATTTAGTGGAGAACTTGGTGGTAGTTTCAGCTGTATTAGTATAGTAGAATATTTTTTCTTTTATATTATTTATTTATTTTGTTTAAAAAAATGTAAACTAATTTGGATGTTTACAAAAGCTCATAATAAACCAGCAGCAATTTAATGTTTGCATTTTTTCCCCCTTACTATACTGAAAATAAACCGAACCGTGACTCCAAAACCGAGTTACACCCCTAACTAGGTGAAAGGGATAGTTGCATGCCGGTGTTCTGAAAACAGCATGAAGTTAGTCTTTGTCTTTTTAATCTTGGTCCCGAGATTGTTCACGTTGTGTCAGCGTCATTATTTGCTGGAACAGAACAGAGTATATTCCAGCAAATCACACCTTCTGTACGTGTAGTTTATCATAAGTGATGATGTAAAATGTGTTGTCGTCTAGGAGAAATCCAGTGTACGTCTTACTTCATTGAACCAGTGCAGTGGATGGAACAAGCTTTACTTGGAGTGATGGATGGACAGGTAATGCATACATGGTAGATTTGTACATCGTTTTACAGCACAGGGTTGCATAATGAGATGAAGTTGTAGCTCCCTTTACGCCACTCACAAAAACTAACTAACTAGTAATCTATAATGTATTACATTATAGATTACATTACATACATGTATTACAAGTAACTTGCCCGACACTGTCAGTAATACACCAGACCTGATTAAGGTAACATGGGGTAATTCAAACAAAAAAACACAAAATGTCACTTTTTTCCTCAACATTTCGTCTGACTGCCGCTCGTCTCATTGAACTAAAAATTTCCTCTGTTTCATCACAATTTTTTAAGTTATTTGATCAAAGCCCTTCTGACCTAAGTTGATCTATTTTTTTTTTTTTGTCATTTAAAATAAGCTGTCTTTTTTTTTTTAAATTGTGTTCAATTTTTTATATACATATGGATATTTACATTAACATAAGTTATGTAATTGTTTGCAGAGAAAGATTTTTATAGTTTTTGGTTGAAGTAGTAAAATGCTTGATCAGTATGTTTGGGGTAAGACGCCCCTTTATGGTTGATCGTTAGCCAATCAGCAGAGAGTCTGATGTAAAATTCTGAGGTTAGAAGCTCACATATGCTCACATTTCTAACTAGCTAGCTGGCAAGCACATGTGTTTCTGCTAATGAAGTTCCAGCAACCTCATTATTTAGAAATAAATGAATAAATGATAGGAAAGCTAATAACATAAGGCAAGTTTATTTCTACAACAGAGGTCTATAATCCTCTTGCTTGAGTTTATTTTATCTGTAGGCATCTTACCCCATGTGGAAAATACCTTTTCCCTAAAATATGTATTTGATTAAATACAAATTATTTGTCAACTGTTTCTATTTATTTTGCTTTATAATATGTTGCCCTCAGCACGGCCTTCTTAAAGATACAACAAAATCAAAAAGTTCTTTAATGTGTCAGAAAATGGACATTGAGCTGAGGGGGGGGGCGTCTTACCCCAAGCTACCCTAAATGTTTTTTGTGGAGGTCGGCTGATCTACACATCTTTCTTAACACACTTCCCTCCCCTCTTTTCCTGTGTGTGTGTGTGTGTGTAGCTGCTGTGTCCTAAGTGCAGCTCCAAGCTGGGCTCGTTCAGCTGGTGTGGTGATCAGTGCTCGTGCGGCCGCTGGGTCACTCCCGCCTTCCAGCTGCACCGAAACAGAGTGGACGAGATCCAACAAGTGAACATACACAAAGCGAACATACAGAAATAACACACGCTCATACGTAAAGGAATGCAGTCTCTGCGAGGCGGAAGAAGGGCGAACACTCAGCTCATCAACACACAAACAGGAAATGCGATGTCCACATGCTACAGTCGTCTTGCATTAGGTTATAAAGACTAATAAGGTTCTAATGCAGGACAGTACAGTGAGTTTGGGTGTTGGGCAGAAGGCAAAACCTCAAATATTTTTACAGATTTGTACATTTACAGCCACAACTTTGCTGTTCAGGTTCGATCTCATAGTGTTTTTGGCTGCTGCTGTTGTTAATATAAATATTTATAAGTGCAGTATTGGTAATAATACCAACTCTTCATTGCTTACAGCTTCTCAAAGGAGAAAATGCTGAGCTTTGTCTGTTTCATATCACTGTACATTAAATATCTTTGGGTTTTGGACTGTTGGTCAGACAATGACGCAATGATACCTTGTGATGGGCATGTCATTATTGAAAGGAATTATAAAGTTTAAAGGAATACTAAAAAACATTAATGGATAAATGCAATGGAGGTAAAGCAGTAAAACAGTAGTGACAGCTTCAATGGTGAAACTGCTACCAGCCCCACAACAACTCACTAAAGCTTGTATGCCAGGGTTGGTGTAATGCAGCTGTTCAGATTTAATGAGTTAACAACACAAAAGTGAATTTTATACAATTTCATGACTGACTTAGGTCACAGCCACGTCATCCAAAATCAAGCAAGACTTGTTATTGCACGTTTCTCTTTCTCAAGATGCATCATTTGCTATTTCTGTGGACTCGCTCATGCTCACTGGATCCAACAAAAAGATCACATCGGGATGAATTTCAACAGATTTATTGGTTCTGGATTCCAGTTTCTGACGGACAAATGTTAAAAACACAAACCCGGTTCCCCAGTCACAATTCAAATGGCATAATGTCTACAACTGTAGCCCAAATAAACTCCCTGGGACCTGTCAATCAGAAGGATTTGCACAAAAAGAGAATTTCCACATGTTTTTTTTTTTATGTTGAATACATGTTTCCTTTGATCCATTTCATTGGTTTGGTTGGTAGAAAGGCAGAAATACAACAGTTTTAAATAGGACAATACTTAGACCCCACAGCTGTCATTTTGGCATTTAAAGTAGTTTAAAACCAGGGTAATATCACACTTTATGGAGAGGGACACAAACATTAAAATAAAACATATATAGTTGGTCCACAAACTGCTGTAGTGTTGTTGTCATAGGTATGTGTCAACGCTCAGTATTACTGTGTAGACGAGTAAAAAACACACCTTCAAAACATAAAGTAATACTATCAAAAATATACTTCAAGTACCAAAAGTAGAATGTGAAATTTATTTCAGAAAAATGTACATTATATTAATGGATTATAATTAAAAGCTCAATATCAAGTTACAGGGGGACATTTTCTGCGCTTGAATACATTCTTGACACTTAAAGCAACATTATGTAAGATTTGTTAAGCCTTTGTGTAATTTGCTGTATAAATAAGGACGGTTAGTAATGTACGCCTGCAGTTGTCATGAAAACATTACTCATGATCAAAAACAAACACGTTGACAACTTTGCTAACACAACCAAACATCAAGCAAGTGTGACAGCGTAAGTCACAGCAATATCGCTGAGCAGTCCAACAGAAAGAAGGCCAACTCTGTGTCTGTTTTGCGGCCTTTTATTTCACAAAGCTCTCGTCTTGGTCACTCTGTTTTTCCTCTTCTCAGCTTCCCCCTTCAACGTCCTCTTTGGTCTCTTTTTGGATAAAAAGGTAAAAGCCAGTCGGATCTTTACTCCTCTCTGGTCTCTTCCTCACATCCTCCAACGTCGTCGTCTTCGTCTTCGGTGTCTTCGCAGCCTCTGCCATGATATCCATACTGAGAATACCGAGATAGCTATAACTCACATTGCTTCTTCTTCTTATAGCTTGCTGAAGAGTTTTGTTGGTGTGTCGTGGTGCCGTAAAGCATCACGCAGTTCTTCAGATAGATTTCCAGTGCCATAGCAGGCGCCTCGGACCCGGAGTGGCAATGACAGAGACATCATTCTCCCTATTACAAGTCAGTGTACCATATTTTAAGTTAAAATTACTACATAATGTTGCTTTAAACGTGGGACCTTCATTTGTAAAAGAGTATTTTTATATTGGTACTTTTACTGAAGTAAAGAATCTGAGTATTAGTTTAAATGTTATTGGAATTTTGTCATGGCTTGAAAATAATAATTCTGGCCCAGAGTATAATTGTGATCTTTGGGAGTGTTGGACCACTGGCCTGTATGGTTTTAAACAAATGTATCATCAGTGTGTAAGCTCAAGTCTGTTCGCCTGGCTGCCAAATGTGGGCCAAAAGTATCAACATTACCATCCTAAACTCTGTGATTGTAGTATTTTATATACAGCATGTTGTTATTTTGTCAAACAGCACATGAGACATTTAGAAAAAGCAATGCATGGACAAAAACATTTCTGAATGATTGGTATTTTTCAATAGCTGCTTTGAAGAGGCCCTAACGTCATTTGTAGTGACACATGGGTGCCACAAGATGGCAGATCAGTATATGGTCTGCAGCTGCTTGAGAAAAAGACGATTTAGGTTCTGCCCCCCCCTGAACCAATGAAAGAAAGCTTGTAACAGCGAAGAAGCATCAGCAGGACAAACGCAGGAAAGATGAGAAAACATGGAGTCTTCTTAGTAAAGTAAGATTGAGGTTTGAGCAGCTATTCTGCTCTAGATTTCACAGTAACTATTATAACTACTGTAGGTACTTTTCTTAGGCAGCAATCGTACATCATGACCTCCAGCTGAAACTTCATGTAATACAATAGCTGTCAGACAATAACTTTAGCATCTAAGGTCCTTTATTCCTGAGGCTTTGGTGTATTTATCATCATAATCTATCATCTGTGGTTTCAGTGGGGAGTTGTGAATAGCTTTAAGTATTGACACTGTAGGAATTCCCATTGAAATGAATCATGAATAAAGTCACTGTTCAGGATAAATCATCAAATATCAGCTCAGAATGTGTCATTTCATGTTCATCTTAGGGCTGCAACTAACTATTATTTTCATCTAGTCTATAAAATGTCAAGAAATTGTGACAAATTGCTCATCACAATTTTCCCGAGCACAAAGCAACATCTTCAAAGTTGCTTCTTTTGTCCAACCAACAGTCCAAAACACGAAGACTCTTCATTTACTAACATAAATGACAAAAAATAGCAGCAATTCCTTACATTTATGAAGATGAAAAAAATGCTTAAAAAATGACTGAAACGATTAATTGATAGTTAGATAGATATCAAAACAGTTGTCAGGTTTTTATTTCAGCGTCAGTGAGTCCAGATCTCAGTGCAAACAGATCCTCATAGTACAGTATGTGGATTGTTACAGTGAGTCGTGTTACGTTACTGTCCAACAGACATCTGGAAAACTGGAGCATTCAATGACTGCCAACAAAAAGAGAGGGTTATGTAAAAGAGGTGGAAAAGGGTTTAAATAAGGTGAAGTGAAAATGTGTGAAAATGACCAGGAAAGAAAGGAGAGTGGTCTGGGGGATGTGGTCTGAGTTTTCCATACTCTCATAAGAACTGGAATTGATCAAAGGGGGACTTCCTACACTGCTCTGCATGTGAGTCTGCAAGAGAGAGAGAGACATGAGACCCTCACTGGGAGATGTGCAGCAGTAATACTACATGCATTTATCAGCTGAGATCATGCAGTTGCACACTAAAATAGAGAAGCGTGAAAACTTTTACAACCTCAACAACGATCCTCCATTAGGAGGAGAAGGAAAAACATTTTCTGATAGGCTTTCTGAAAGTCCAGTTCCACAGTGCTACAGTAGAAATATCACACATTCATCATGATCTCAAGAGAGCAGTTTATTCCTAATCAATAATTACAGCACCATATTTGCAACTGTCTAATGTTTTGAGGCATTAACATACATCAGCCATTAAAGAGTATTAATAAACGTGAATGCCATCCTGTGTGGATATAATGCACTTTCATAGACAAAGTACAGCATGCTAAGCTACAACATGAGGTTGTAGTCTGGTTAAACGTGATGAAATACAGTATTTATCTAGTGCAAGTTTGTTTTCACAAAATAAAAGACAAGAATTTTAAATATACAAAAGGTTCCTCGCAAACCCACTTTCGGTTTTGTGTTAGCCTGGTTACAGACTTTGAATCGGTGCACACCATCTCTGAATTGTTTAACAATGCAAATAGTTGCAATCTACTGACAGACTACTGTCCGGCTTCCTGCCACCGTCCAAAGACATGCGGCCTAGGTTTGGTTTGGTGACCCTAAATTGTCCTTATGTGTGGCCCTGCGATGGACTGGCGACCTGTCCCCGCGACCCTTTACGCAGGATAAGCGGTTGATGATGGATGGATGGACATGTATGGCTTTGTTATGAAAAAAAACCCATGGCATTCACAATTTGTAGGATGTGATGTGGAAGTTCATGGATTTGTTTTGATATGAACTGGAGTCACAGTTTTTTTTTCAAGTGCTAACAAGCTTGCTAAAGCCACTTTTTCAAAATGCTTCATACAGTCTGCATTGGCCAAACAGTTAATAAACACCTCCACAAATCACTCAAACCACCAAAACACTTCATACATGTCACAAAATAAACTTGATCGACCAAAACAACAGTAACAGTTCTCGCTCAGAAAGCAAACACACAATTAAATTATAAACTTTTATCTTTGAAGTCACATTATTGTATGGACTTAAGAATATGTAACAAGAATTAATCAGAAATCCAACAATTTGCTTGTATATCCTTTATTTTTTCTATAACATTGCATATAGTAATTTACTTTTAGAAAAATATAGAGTTGAAACAAAAAGCAAATTCCTAAAGTTTCAGTGTGTCACGATCCTGTCCTGAGTGCTGTGTTTTTGGGTTTTGATTCTGCATGTTAGTCCTGTCAGCTGTTCCGTTTAGTTCTGAGTTTATTCATTTATCAGTTTGGTATCTGTTATTTAGTCTGAGTTTTGTTTCCATGTCTTACTCCTGGTCCGTGTACTTCAGTGTATTTTGATCTGTTCAGTATCTGTCTTAGAGTTGTTGAGTTGTGCTTTGTCCAGTATCTGTTAAATAGTCTATTGTATTTCCCTTATTTTTGCTCTGTTCCATGTTTATTGTTGTCCTGTTCCCAGTCGGTTCCATCTCTGTTCCTTACTCCATTCTGTTAGTCAGTTGTCATGTTTCCTGTTTTGAGGTTCGGTTCCTGGTCTTGTGTTTTCTGTTAGCTCCTGCATCTTAGCTCCTAGTTCTGTGTCTCAGTTCATGTCTTAGTATTTACTTTTGGTCTGTGTACCTCTGTGTAATGTTGCCCTCGTCTGCTCTGTGTTCTCTTAAATTCCAGCTTCAGTCTGTTTTCATTGTTGGTTTTAGTT